GCGGCCGAAGTCTACCCAGTGCTGAACAATCTTAGCAGGACCAGATGGTCGGCTCTGTTTTTCAGTTGACCAAATCAACGACAGATGCCCAAAACATTCATCAAGGGAGCTCATGGCCCATGGAATTGGAGTGTCCAGCGGCCTTGCGGCCTTCATCCACTTGCGTAACGACTCTTGATTCACCGGTGGTTCTCTCAGTGAAGACGGTAAAGGAGGTATAGTTACGACCCGAATAGCCTGATGAGGCTTCTGCGCCGTCGCTCGGTATGGCACGGGTAGCTCCCAGGCGCCGATGACGGTGCGAAGGTCACACTTGACCCTCGTTCCATCAATGGTAGTTGGTAATGGGTTCAAGCCGGTGAACACGACAAGGGAATGCACAACTAGACGACAGAATGGGCAGTTCTCCTTGGCGATGATCTCATCCAGATATCCGATGGGGATCTCATCTCGGTTATCCTCGAGCCTTTCGTTGAGAACAAAATCAAAATCAATTGTCCGGCACATATTGCAGAGATCAGTTGCCGTCTGACCAGACTGATCAATTCGCCAGACTTCACTACCTTCCAGGGTCATCATCCGATTCTGGGGCCATCTTGATGAATCAAGCATTTCCTTCGCAGCATTATCTTCTTTTGACTGTCCAAGAGACATCTCAGCAATGTATCACCTCTTTCAACTCGAAAATACTGCCCGACCCGGTCTTTTCAGTCGATGTACTGCTGGTCCCAATTCAGTGCGGGGTTGAGTATCGTGGCATCGTCTCAGAAGCTAGAGTCAGGAAGAAACGACTGGGTTGATATAAAGAATTACAAGGATCGAGATATAAGCATGTGCATCTTTCGATCTGTGATCGAGAGGCCTGGCTCGCTCATGAAATGTGAAAAGTGCTTCGCGTGGCAAGTTAAAGACTTCGAGATCACGGGCACCCAGATCCAGCAACCAAATCAGCTGACTCTCTAGCTGAGAGGCCGTGCGCAACTGATGAGAACCCCTGTTATCTCTTTGCTGCACCAATCTTGACACGTGGTGATGGGGGTCGAAGAAGGCGCATGCCTTAATACCTAAAACCCTGGGAGACGAGGCGAGGTATATGCTTCTAGACAAGCCCTTGATGTCTCAGACCCTAAAATAAACTCGAGCAATTGATTTGGCGGTCGAATTTAAGGAGGCGTCCACCGCGAGATTTGGCGAGTAGGGGCGGCGATAGCATGGGCCCCCCTGTAGAGTTCTGACACTTGGAGTGGGGGACGCTCTGATTCTCAGCCCACCTCGAAACCGTGACAAGAGAATATGCTCTTAAGCATCGAACCATCGGTGGGTCCTTCGCCTACAGCTTCTCCCTGATGACGCGGATTGCCCAGTTTCGAGAGCTAAGAGGTCGAAACAGTGAGGGCCGAAACCAAGACAAGAATTGTCGGACACAAGGCGCCATGGGTTCCAGCCATGATCTACGCTACGTTCGTTATCTAAAGGAGAGTAGTCCAGCCAAGCCGGCCAGGAGACGAACGATATTAATAGGGCGTCGTCCCATTTCGCCCCGAAGATCAGTGCCCGCGACGAGTTGCCTTCTGGTCGATAGCAACCGCTCCAAATAGCTTTCGTGGTCGATGTAAGCCGGACTGCAGGACAGGTCTTATTCTAATTCTATTCGCTGGCCGACGATCTACTCCAATAATTCATTAATCATTCTCAGCCATGCCTGCCCTTCCTGTCATCGATTCGCAGCACCTCGCCCGCGGGCTGGCTGAGGTTGGCCATGTCATCGTCCGGAGAAGTGTTGACCACACGGTGCTAGAGACACTTGCAGTCAGTGAGTCTTCCCCCGGTATCTGTCGTCAGCTTGTCATGTACTTGAACTTCTCGGCTGACTAGAGGGTTAGCTGCGACAATCTTCATCAGCATGGGCGCTTTGATGTACTGGGGGATCAAGATGGAAGGTTCCTGTACCAGAGGAAAGAGATGAACTTCAGCGAGACCAGAATCTCAGATTCCGATGGATTTATCAAAGATGGCTTGCTCCAAGCTCATCAGGTCAACATATCAAACCTAGTCGATACTCCGCTCCCAGCCTGTGGCTCTCACGAGTCTCTCCGAACACCAAGCGACCCAGTATATAAACGATGCCTTCCATGGTAATTTATGGCCGAGGAACCGAATTGCAACCCTAGATGGTTAGATCAGCATCAATACTGGAGTTAAAGTATTAAAGGGAATCGCCGCTTCTGGCAGAGAAGAGCTAGGCGAGATCGATTTTCACATCAATATAGTATGACCTAGTCGGCATGCATTTTATCAGAGCTGGTTACAGTGTAATAGACGCTCTAGAAAATTAGATACCATATCCAAATTATAATAAATATACTTACAGCTCAGCACCCACGATTCTCGGTTTGCGAGTCTTTGATACTGTCATCACAGCCGCAAAGAGGGATAGTGGAAATATTAACAGCCAATGATCGCTCTCATTCAAGTATCGTCACATCTCGTGGCTGGCTGAATGGGAATATTGGAAGACTCCCTAAGCCGCACCTAAAATGGGTCTCAAGCCGCTCGTATCCGTGTGTTTTTATCGCGTGAATGGATCTATTAATTCGTGCCCGACCTTATCGCTGGGTGCTGATGGTTTTGTTCCCAAGGGATTAGCATGTCTCAGAATTTGCACTGTTTTACAAAGCCTTCGTTTGCCGTCAAACCCTACGATTGGGTTTGCCTCCCTTGCCAAGAGACTTTGTCTGCCGTCTCGGCCTCCGGCCCAACCAACAATGGCGCCTCCGTCTACCGTTGGAAGCAACCAGGAACGACCTGCAGTTAAAGGCTTTGAGAACTTCATCGCTTTCATCGTTGGCATTTCGGTCTTCGGTGCGGGGACATTCAACCTGCTTGTCAGTCCGCCTGCGGACCCCGCTGATATCAGCAGCCCAAATTCGCCTTTCTTTGATCTGGACAGAGTCAGAACTTTTCTCGGCATCGCATGGCTGTGTTTTGTTATGTCTCTGGTCATCGCAGGCTACCTGTCCAGCATCCTAGCACTTCTGCAGCATGCTGCTCCGCGACGCTCGGATTGGGATGAAAACTGGGATAAGCTGGGAATATTTGCTGGCGCCGTGCTTCAGATGTTAATCGTCGTCGCTTTCCTGTTTCTGTCACTAGCTTTGGTGCCATATGTCGCCGTAATTGGATGGGTTGCTGTCGGGTTCTCGTGCCTTTCTGGCGTTTTCGTTTTTTTCATGACCTTGTTTCAGCTCAGGTATGTCCATACAAGTTTCCCGTTTTCCTTCACTCGCTTCGCGGTGGATTTCTCGCGACAGATCTGTACTAACGACAAGCTTCAGTACTCAATAACGACATGGAAAGCTTCCGCGGGCTTTCTGCAATGTGGTCGGGAGTATCAAATCATTGTTAGGGTGACTACTTCAAGGGGAAACAATCTCATGCCAGGTACATGTTTGACATCGAGCAGGAGAGCCTACTCACATTAAGAATTAAAGATAAACGTCCCAGCCAGCCGTACAAGTACTTCTTGCTCTTTGACAAGCATCCAGTCAGGTTCACAAGTCCAGAATTCGTCCAGGGACTGCCTCGAACACAACCAGCGGCCCCACCAGTTTCCCGGCTCGGACCAGCCGCTCCGGAGCAGTGGGCCGGCTGCTTGCCACCCCACCCCTTTCACAGGACGCCAACCCCTGCACGCATCCCTACATCACCAATGCCCTTATCTACAGCATGACGTCGAATTTTTGGCCTTCTGTATTGATGATAGGCGTCGAACTTGCCGATTCTCCTTGTTCATTGGGTAATATCTTCCCACTCAGTACTGCTTTGCCTATCCGGGCACTTCTGACATGCGAAACGGCTTGGCGGCCAGGCGGCGTAGATAAGCAATTTGTCTGAAGTGTAGGCGGCCCAAACACAAGAAAGTAGCTCTCAATAGTAAGGCATGATAAGGCCTTGACTTGCTAACAGTTTACTGTCAATCACAATTTAAGGCAAGACCTCTCTATACACGCTGAAGATGACGTCAAGATATTTCATGCTGTACATTATGCCCTACGCTTGTTTGGCCGCGACTGAACCTTTCCGCTGATTTGAGACATGTATAGCGACGGAAATGACCACATGGCCGGAACAACCGTGGGGTAATAATAAGACTTGTACCACTTTCAATGACTTCTGAGTCTTGAGTTGTGACTCGAATACTCAAAAAATTCAAGCTATAAAACCAGCATACCAGGCTACTAGGCTACAAACGTGGTTGAAAAGAAAGCGACGTCAGGCAACACACGCAGACACGCAGAACTTCTGAAGTCTCGAATCAAAAACCAGCAGAGCTATTGAACGAGGATCGGCGCAAACAGATATGCCGGCAAAATTGACCCTCGGCGCGGAGGAGGAATTTCATCTTGTGGATCTCAAGACATGGCGGCTCTGCCCACGAGCTCCGCAAGTATTATCGCAACTTCCAGAAGAGTTCTTCAAGGCCGAACTCCAGCGCTCAACCATAGAAACCAACACCGAAGTTGTAGATACGCTCGCAGGTCTGCGGGCTGAACTGCTTAACAAACGACAGCAACTCATCCAAGCGGCGGCCTCTGTCGGCGCTGGAGTTGCGGCCACTGGCACCGCCCCAAGATCCGATTTCAATGATTTTGAGATGACTGCTAACGGCCGCTTTGCGAAAAGTAAGCAAAGTTTGGGGTTCATTCACCTATTTCAGCTGGGTTTGAGTAATGGAAGCAAAGACGCTATCTCAATCCGGACAATTACTTTGAGACATCTCTTTTCGAGCCTCTCCTTGCTTTGACGTTCTTAAAAGGCAATTGCTGACTCAAATGTTGTAGTGCAGGAGCAGTACCGCATGCTCGTCAGTGAACAACTCATTTGCGGGTTCCAAGTGCACGTTGGTCTTCCCAGTCGAGACCTAGCCGTACAAATTGCGCAGCGATTGGAGCGTGACCTGCCGTGCCTCTTGGCGCTCTCAGCGTCATCACCGTACTGGGATGGCGAGGACACTGGGTATGCGTCCATTAGAACAGTGATAGGACTTCGTTGGCCAAGCGCTGGTGCCACAGGGCCACTGGCTTCAGCTGCCGAGTACGATGAGATGCTTGCCGATCTTGTTGCTTCTGGTGTGATCAGCGACGAGAAGATGGCATATTTCGATGTCCGGCCATCATCGAAGGAGTCAACAGTGGAGTTGCGAATTTGCGACAGTTGCCCCATTGTCAATGACGGCGTACTTATTGCCGGTCTATTCCGTGCCATGGTGCGAGCAGCGGAGCAGGATATTGAAGCAGGGGTGAGGTTTCAGCCTCGACCAATACCTATATATCGCGCCTCCATGTGGCAAGCCGCTCGTGGTGGCCTCTCTGGCAAACTTCTTGATTCCTCGCCTCATGCCAAACCGAAAGATGCCGCCACGGTAATACGCGCCATGGTGGATCGTCTGCGTCCCCAGTTGGAGGAAGCTGGCGACTGGGACGAGATAGTTGAGCTGCTTGAGACAGTCCTTACCCGTGGCAATTCTGCCGACCGACAGAGGACTGCATTGGCCGACCATGGTGATCTCAATGATGTGATGCGGTCAGTCATCGACGAGACTCGCTCGCCTGCCGCGGGTCCAGAGCCTGAGTCCCCGCCAATCCCTGGTTATCGGGTTCGCGCTGGTGACGAGGCCATACTACGAACCGGGGAACCGAAACCTGCTTATCGCCCAATACTAAACTGGTTACGAGAGCAAAATGCGGATTTCATTCGTGGTCGTTTCGAAGCTAGAGACAAGTGGGTTCGAGAACATGGATTGACGTTCAGCGGTGGCAGCGACGACGCGTTTGACATAGACCTGGTGCCTCGTGTGATTCAGGGACATGACTGGGAGGAGCTCTCTCAAGGCCTTACTCAACGAGCTCGCGCACTGGAGCTATTCATACGGGACATGTATGGTGAGCAACGCGCAGTCAAAGACGGCATTCTACCCGATGAGTTTGTCCAAGACATTGCCGGCTGGCGCGCAGAGGCTTCTCGCATTCCTGCCGGCAGTGTACGCGCGGGAATACAAGGATTCGACTTGGTGCGTAATGAATTCGGAGGCTGGCGCATCTTAGAAGATAATTTGCGCTGTCCTAGTGGCATGGCATATGGCACATCTGCGAGGGAGATGCTAAACGAGATAATGCCTGATATGCCAAGACTAGAAGGCTTGATTGATCCTAGGAATGCCTTCAAACAACTTCGAGAAACACTTCTATCTGGTTTGGGTCTAGATGGTACAGCGGTGCTTCTTACGAATGGGCCCGAGAATTCTGCTTGGTTTGAGCACAAGACTTTGGCTGATGGAGCTGGATTACTTCTTGTACAAGCAAATGATTTGAATCGATCAGGGGATCGCATTGTGCACGGGGAGACAGGTCGCAACATCGACGCCATATACCTTCGTCTTGATGACCCACTGATAGATGCATCTAAGAAGGACGGGCAGAGCATCGGCGCTGACATTCTTGACATCGCCGCCGCGGGCAAGGTGAGAATTATCAACCCTCCGGGCAATGGAGTTGGCGACGACAAGGCCGTCTATGCATTTGTGCCCGAGCTCATTCGCTATTATCTCAATGAGAGTCCACTGTTAGAGCAAGTGCCAACCTATCGCACTCAAGACCCCGATGAGCGCCGCATCGTCCTCGAACGGGTCGGACAACTGGTCACCAAGCCGGTTGATGGATTCGGTGGAGCCGGAGTGCTTGTTGGGCCGTCAGCGTCCGCGGCCGAGTTGGCTGAACGGCGATCCGCCATCCCAGAACACCCAGACGCTTGGGTTGCGCAGGAAGTGGTATCGCTGTCGTCACATCCAACCTTTGACGATGCTAAGCTTGCACCACGGCATCTTGACCTTCGCGTATTTGTCTTCCTCACAGGCACTGAACCGGGCGATGCGCGGCTTGCGGATGTTGCCCTGACAAGAGTGGCCCCGCCTGGCAGTTTGGTAGTCAATTCATCTCGTGGCGGCGGTGGCAAGGACACTTGGATCATTGCTCAGAATGCGGGGGGTCGTTTGCAAGGCAACGGTAAAGTTCACTAACCGGGAAGTCAAGGAAAATGATAGAGCATAGGTTGTTGAGCGCAAACTCAACGTCCCTTTTCAGATGAGTTTGAGGCATGGTGCATGCATGATGTATTCTTGGTCCACTGTTGCTCTCATCGTGCTAGGAGCTCAGCCGACGATTGTGCTTAAGACTGAATCGTGAATCACGACTTAAAGGATTCGCATCTTGAGAAAGGATCCACGATGTATGACGCAATGACGCGTTATCGGGTATTTGGAGGTAAATTGAAACATCAGTTTGGACGAGACGTGAGCGTAAAGTCCGTAAACCCGTGGAAAATGCCCTTCGTTTTACTGAACCTATATTTGTCACCATTGATACAATTGTGAGGATACCCTTCTTCCCTTTCCTATCTCGAAAATCAAGCCAATGCGATTCTTTATTGATGATTAAAACGATGTCTCTTCGGACGGGGACAAGCTTTGGCTGTTCCTCGCTCTCGCGTCTCGGTGTTCAGCCTTAGTCACTGTACTAGGTCAATGCAAGCCTCTCAATATAGATGAAGGGTACCATTTACTCGGATTTAACTCGCGTTCGTCTGCAGAGCTACAAACGGAATGGCTTCAGCCCCCGCTTCGGACACCGAGTAGCCTCCTATTGGATGCAGCGAACTTGGCGTAGAGACCTCTAGCTTACCTTATACAATAGCACCTGTAGGTGAACTCGCGAAGGATTTAGAGAAGCTCGGCGAGACCAGGAGCTGTTTACCTGCTTACTATTTCATTAGGCAATACAGTGACTACAGAAGTGTTGCTCACGAATCGTTAACCCGTCTCCGTTAGGTCCATGAGCTCTAAATTGGATGGCGTAGTGTATGTAGAAACAATATATAAGTTTGATGACGGGACCTTGTTCGAGGTCCACCAGTACATCATAATCTCTCTACTAGTAGTTCTTTGTTCCTCAATATTCCTCAATATCACAAAGATGAAGTTGCGTAGTCTTATCTTTCTTGCAACCACACTGCTCGTGGGCTCCGCCGCAGCTGCCACGATCCCCCACGCCGCGACAACGACGGCGACGCTCACAATCCCCGTTGGTACCGTTGTGGGCTCCGTGATCAACAATGTCGAGTATTATCGCGGCATTCCTTATGCCCAAAGCCCCACCGGACCGCTACGACTGAAACCCCCGGTGACCCTCAGCACCATCGGGACCGTCGATGCCACGGGCGTAGGTCCTGCGTGCCCTCAAGTGGCAAATGTAGATAGCTCGCCGCTCTTCTTCGAAGTACTACAGAATCCTAGTGTCGTAGAAGCGCTGTTCTTTGGATCGGCATTGGGCGACGTAACTGAAGACTGCCTTACTATTTCAGTCATGCGACCACAAGACACCCCATCTGATGCAAAATTACCGGTGCTATTCTGGATGTTTGGCGGTGGATTCCAGCTGGGGAGCGCGCAACCTTATAATGGATCGGTGCTCATTCCCCGAGCTGTGGCCCAGGGCAAACCGTTCATCCTCGTGAGTATAAACTACCGTATTGGAGGCTTTGGTTTCCTCGGAGGAAAAGAGGTGCTCGCAGATGGGGCCGCCAACTTGGGGCTGCTTGACCAGAGGATGGCCCTGGAGTGGGTGGCAGACAACATTGCGGCGTTCGGTGGTGATCCGGACGCGGTCACAATCTGGGGCGAAAGCGCCGGCGCCATGAGCGTGTTTGATCAGCTTGCGCTCTACGACGGTGACAATACCTACAAAGGGCGCCCTTTGTTCCGTGGTGCTATCATGAATAGCGGTAGCACCACCCCCACTGAGCCAGTAGACGGGGCCAAGGCCCAGGAAATCTTCGATGCGGTGGCTGAAGCGGCCAATTGCTCATCAGTACCTAGCTCGGAAAAGCTGGAATGTCTACGACAGCTTGATTTTGAGACATACGCGAATGCAACGACCAATGTTCCCAGTTTCATGGGATACAATGCCCTTTCGCTAAGCTACGTTCCTCGGCCAGATGGCCGGGTACTCACTGCCAGCCCGGATATCCTAGCCAAGACTGGCAAGTACGCGGCGGTCCCAATGATCGTTGGCATCCAGGAGAACGAGGTGAGTGAAGACTCAGACTAACTGCACGACAATTCGACGTTCAAAGCTAACACCATGTCGTAGGGAAATATGTTTTCTCTCTTTCAAACCAATCTTACCACCAAGGCTGATTTGGTCTCTTATCTGAATGACATTCTCTTCCGTGGCGCCACGCGTAAGGAAGTTGAAGGCCTCGTCGACATCTACCCTTCCAGTAGTTGCAATGGAGCGAGCTCTTCCAATGAAACCTATCCGGAGTTTGATAGACTCTCTGCTATTCTCGGCGACTTCGTCTTTATTCTTCAGCGCCGCATCTTCCTAGATACAGTTCCCAAGTCAGTTCCAACATGGTCGTATCAAGCCGCATATGAACGCGGAACCCCGATATTAGGAACTTACCATGTTTCTGACCTGCCTCGCTCATTCTCATACACAGATCGCGTCAGCAGTGCTATTCAAGACCTGTATATCTCGTTTGCACATTCCTTGGATCCGAACGGGGGCGCGGCTGAGGATCCCGATGGATATGTCACACACTGGCCAAAGTGGCGGGAGGGGAGGCAGCTGATAGAATTTGGCGTCAACTCGACCAGGTTGCTGACTGATGATTTTAGAACGCCCAGCTTCAACTATATACGCTCTCATCTGGATAGTCTTCGCACTTGATTGTCGGAATTTCATGATAAATCGTTCTTCTTCATCTGTGTTCACCTTCACCGGACACCATTGATATAGACATTGCATTATTGCCTTAATATTGATAGACTCTAATTGTAAACAGTTTCTCGATAGACTAAGAATTGTTTGTAGTAATTGTTGTATTTATTTGATGTTTTCAGAGCAGTCGATCACTGGAGAGCAACAGTGATAAACGCCGCAAGACTCAATACCTGTTATCTCTTTCGTCACAGTAACCATTATCACACGGTGACGTTCTCGAAAACGTTTTGTATAAGAATAGAAGGTCCTAAGATTACCGATAGACCATAGCCTAGCTGAAACCAGCGATTGATAAAAAATAATTTAGTATTTGTCTCTAACGATCTGAAACCTAAATTTATGATAGTGTATTTCCCAACCTTCCTTTTGTTAACTCCTTTTAAGAAAAAGGAGGAAAGATATCTAATCCCACGTACGCCATAACATCATCAATCCACACAGTGCTATGCATCTACTGTTGCTCGACAGGGTAGCTGTGTGACGTCTGCCTAACCTTCCCCTCCTCTACCGATCTCTGCTGGTCTTGCGCAAACTCGGCCGGCAATTTCCTCAGAGTCAGGCCTGTCACGACGCAGAAAGCGACCGCGATGATCTCCATGAGCGCCGACATGCACAAGTAGATGGTGGTGTTGCCCGAAAAGGCGTTGAACTTCTTATCGCCCGAGAAGTCGGCAATCAGGGCGTAGGCGAGACGGACAACGACAAAAGGCGCACAGGCGGCGAAGCAGTAGAGCAGCCGCATCTCGGGGCCCGGGATAGTAGAGCGCTGGTTAAGAAGCATCAGAAAGATGCCGACAGCGATCACGTAGATGGCTGTGAAGATGCACACAGCGGCCTTAACCTCGCTGTTGGGTTTGAAGGGGTTGCTTGACTGGGCTACCTTGGTGCCGCCGTGGATACCCAGTGAGACGGCGACAAGGGATGCGATGCTGAGGATGCCGAATAACTTTTGGTTCATTTTGCGGGGCACAAAGCGGTTTCTGTGCAAATCATCCCAGTCAGTTTTATGGTCATACTTGTGATGGTTAGTCTGTTTAGAAAGAGACTTACACTCTAGCAAGCAAGCCGAGGTTCAAGACGGTCAAAGGTGAGATACCAATGGCATCACAGATGAGAGCACCGCCGTAAACCGAACGCGATGGGTAGTGTATGGTGGCTAATTGGAAACTGGCACCAATAACACGTAACAGAGAGAAGGTGATGAGAATCACCCAACCAGAACTCCTCCTGAACCCGTGTTTCATGCAAAGCAGGAGAGCGCACCCAAGATAAGCGACGAAGAAGATGAGCTGAAGGATGGCAACACCATCTCGATAAGTGACCTGGCTCATGTTGTCTGATAAGAGACGATCTCGCTAAGTGGTAGGCGATGGTGGAGAAGAGACTCCGGCGTCAAGAGGTATAAGATGCAGTGGATATGGTGTTCAATTGTAACTTTGCCGTGAAGAGATATTTCATCGTCAATCAACGCTGGAGGCCAAGAGTCCTCTTATAGGCGAATTCCCCATGAGCTGAAAAGAGCAAAGTCCATCTTTCTTTGCCGTATTTCCCCACAGCGAGCGGTTTCGCGACGCGGTTTCGGGTTGTTAGTCCCAAGGATTTCCATCCTCCACGAACGACCCTGGCGCAATCCTTCGCGGTGCTGAAGGCTGGTAACGGTCACGCCTAGTAATGTAGGGCTTAGACCGTTGTCCCATGCTACTGCTAAGCTTTTCATCGTCTTGCTAAGCTTTCTGCCATGACGCGGGTCATCGCTGTCGAATGGCCTATCAATGGAAGCCGGGGGGAACGAGCTTGCAGCAGGCTAAGGCACAGGCGCTGGATATTTGTGCGGCAGTGTGGATTTCGGGATCGCGTTCGCATCCTGCTACGGGGCTTTCACAGATTGGATTGAGTAGATCTATCCGTGCCGCAGCAAAAATTCAAACGAGACACAGCTAGCCAATGAAGAGACGAAAACATGCGATTCCGACCGGAATTCATTCCCAAATGAGTAAGACAACGAGATCGGACAAATGGCCATTAGAGAACAATCCAAGAACGACGACTTCTAAACTTAACTTGGACCCAGAAAATTGGACCCCCTTGTTATCTTTCCAGAACCAAACTGTGTTTCTTTTTTTGGTTGGGGGGGGGG